CACAATTACAATCCAATCAACGGCAATCTCCGTCTCACCAACCTGCAAGTATCTTGGCATAATACTTGACAGAACGCTTAAGTTTTCCACTCATGTAACCAAGGTGAAGATGAAAGTAAAGTCACGCGCCAAACACTTTAAATCTCTCTCGTTCAGCGGTCGCGGAATCACTACCTCATGTGCCTCTACAAGACCATATGCAGGTTCATCATAGAATATGGATCAATACTGCTAAGCAACGCACCAAGAAGAACGAAGTACCACCTGGAAGTAGCGGAAAGATCTGCACTGAGATCCATCACCCGAATTAGGAACCCCCGTAATCCCCTCTTTAACCCTAGCAATGATCTGCTATACCAACTTACCGATATACCCCCTATCCATACCCGTCTTCAATCTTTGTCCGATAAATCCATTCTAAATTTTCCTACCAACGCCTTGCAACACACGCTTATATCGCCTCGATTACTCCACCCTCGCAACAACCCACCTCTTCTCTTCCAAAAACTCCTGGCCGTCAGAGAAGACTGAAGCAAGCCGCCGACTACAAAAATCACGGGCAGAAAGACCTTGGTCGGTAGCCCTATTCTCATCCCTTAACTTTTTTATTTTTGTTGTATATACATATAGATATTTTTATTGTTATTCTTATTTTTTTTATGTAGTGGGTACAGAATAAAATTTGCTTTCTTCTTCTTGTCGATCACTTCAAAATTTTTTTTCTCAAGAACTACAAGTGATTTTTCAAAACGGCTTGTCGCATTAAAAAGAGGATACTTTAGTTAATAATTGGTGATATTTCCTCAAGGATCCTTCAAGAAATTAATTTTATAACGAATTTTGAAAGTTATCGATGAAAATTGCAACATCATAAATTTTATCAAAACTTCAAACATTGTTTTCTCAAATATTAAAAATTATTTTTCAAAACGTGTTGGTTCATTGGAAAGAGGACACTTTTAGTAACATTTTTGGAAATTTCCATACTCATGTTCCTAGAAATGGATTTTATACGAATTTTTAAAACTTAATCGGCGAAAATTGCAAATTTCGAAAAAATTGTCGATCATTTTAAAAATTTATTTCTCAAAAACTAAAAGTGATTTTTCAAAACGGCTTGTTGCATTAAAAAGAGGGTACTTTAATTAATAATTGGTGACATTTCCACAAAGATCCTTCAAGAAATTAATTTTATAGCGAATTTTGAAAATTATCGATGAAAACTGCAACATCGAAAATTTTATCAAAACTTCAAATATTGTTTTCTCAAAAACTAAAAATTATTTTTCAAAATGGGTTGGTTCGTTGGAAAGAAGAACTTTTATTAACACTTTGGGAAATTTTTATACTCATATTCCAAGAAATTAATTTTATACGAATTTTTAAAACTTAATCGGCAAAAATTGCAAAATTCGAAAAATTATCGATCATTCCAAAAATTTATTTCTCAAGAACTAAAAGTGATTTTTCAAAACGGCTTTTTGCATCAAAAGGAGGGTACCTTAATTAATAATTGGTGATATTTCCACAAGGATTCTTCAATAAATTAATTTTATAGCGAATTTTCAATATTATCGATGAAAATTGCAACATCGAAAATTTTATCAAAACTTCAAATATTGTTTTCTCAAAAACTAAAAGTTATTTTCCAAAACATGTTGGTTCATTGGAAAGGGGACACTCTTATTAACACTTTGGGAAATTTTCATACTCATATTCCAAGAACTGGATTTCATACGAATTTTTAAAACTTAATCGGCGGAAATTGCAAAATTCGAAAAATTATCGATCATTTCAAAAATTTATTTCTCGAGAACTAAAAGTGATTTTTCAAAACGGCTTGTTGCATTAAAAAGAGGGTATTTTAATTAATAATTGGCGATATTTCCACAAGGATTCTTCAAGAAGTTAATTTTATAGCGAATTTTGAAAATTATCGAAAATACGATTTTGATTTAGGAGAAAGGATTAATTCATTTTTACTTTTTAGGCTGGTAATAAATGATAAATCGACATAACCGACAAAGTTATTTAAAAATTNGAATTATCGAAAATACGATTTTGATTTAGGAGAAAGGATTAATTCATTTTTACTTTTTAGGCTGGTAATAAATGATAAATCGACATAACCGACAAAGTTATTTAAAAATTAACCAGTTTTATTTATAAAAGTAATTTGTACTTCTTTAACTTAATTAATACAATATCACATTATCATTTTAGTTTTAAACAATTAAATCAACTTAATTTAACGGTAAAAACCCCGTTTAAATCGTTCCGATTAATTTCCGATTTTAAATCGAAAGCTTTGTTGATAACCCCAAAATTATTTTTCAAACTTATTTTATGTTTAAACGTTTCCTCGATTTCTTCTAACGTTTTATTTTTAGTTTCCGGCAAAACGAATCGGCTAAAAAGCACGCTCAAAATCGAGGCTATAAAGAAAATCGTACAAGTTCCGAAAAATTTAAACGTCTCGATCGACAACGGATAGAATTTAACGCTTATAAATATAAAAATTTGCGCCAAACAAATCACCAAGCCCATCATAATCGATCGGACGCGAATCGAAAATAATTCGCCGACTAAAATCCAAGGAATCGGCAACATTCCGATCATGCTAAAAAAAACGTTTGCTAAAACGCAAATTAATGGAATTATCGTGAAGGTGTTTTTGGTTTTAGTTAATTCTAAGTATTTTAGATACCCTAAAATAACAAACATGCTTAAAGCCATACCAAAACTTGATATTAAACAAAGCGATTTACGATTAAACTTATTAATTAATATAGCACCGAGTATCGACATAACAAATCGGATTAACCCCACGATTATCGAAGAAATAAATTCATCGATATCGATTTTGGCATCTTTAAAAAAATTAACCGAGTAAAACAAGATTGCGTAAATCCCCGACGCTTCTTGCAACAAAAATAAAATTAATAAAATTAAAAACGGCTTCGTCGTTTCTTTGCTAAAATAATATCTTAACGAAAATTTATCTTGATTCTTATTCAAATTGTATTCCTCAAAACGATTGTATTCGTCTTGAACTAAAATCAAATTTCTTCGGAACCAAAACAAACTCTTTTTCGTCGAATCCTTTTTTTTCTTTTTGTACAAAAAACTCGGCGATTCCGGCAAAAAATGCACGGTTATTAATGTGAATAAAGCGAAAATGATGCTTAATAACGACGTTATTTTCCAATGGAAAAAATAACCTAAGGAATAAGTTAAAAGTATCCCGAACGAGGCTGAGACTGGTCCTAAAGCTTGAAACGTGCCTCGAGTCGAGGCAGTTGAGATTTCTGATACGTAAGTGTAACTCGCAGTCGCCATTCCGGCTGCTATCCCTGTTATGAGTCTTCCGATGTATAATATGTGGATGTTTTCCGATAAACTTACACAAATCCATCCGATTATGAACGGGATTGAACTAAATTGGATTGAAATTTTTCTTCCGAACCATTCGGCGATTAAACCGGAGAGGATTGAGCCGATTGGGTTTGTTATAGCACCAAAACTAGCTGAAATTGAATAATTTCAATTAATTTAAGTTAATTAATAAAAATAAGAAAAAAAAATTAAGCTATGTGTGTATGGTTGATATTTTCGGTTTACTACCACGTGGATTATTATCAAAGATAAGAACAAAGACAAACACAAAAAGACAGATTAATGACTCGAGTTATTCTATAAAAGTGCCCTCGGATTAATAATCGTGATAAAGTGTGTTAATTAATTATCGTACCCCACGTCATCATTGAAAGTATGCAACCAATATCACAGTATTGGCAATAATGACGTAGGGTACAATAATTAATTAACACACTGTATGTTTGAGATCGGGAGTAATTAATATTGAAAGTACCTAATTATCACAGTATTCTTCCTATCTCTCTCTGTATTATTAAATTATTTCAAAACAAAATTCCAATACATCACCATGATGCATGGGTTGTTCATAAATACAGGGTGTATCTCCGGAATGGTTTGAAGTATTTTAGTTTTGTAAAAAATTGTTGTTAGAGTTCTTAAATATTAAAATATCAAACTTCATTTCTTAAGTATTATTATTTTGCATTGTACAAAAATAAAGGTGGAGCTGCAGTCAAAAGAAACTTTCTCTTCAACATAAACTATTTATCAGGTGCATATCACTTCATTATTCGTGGGCCTTAGCTTCTACTACCAAAATGTCCGAGGCCTACGTTCCAAAACGAATACTACTTCAGTTAATTCCTATGCGCTGTCGATAGATTTTATTTGTCTTACCGAGACCTTTCTTAACTCTACGATGTCCGACGGGGAACTTCTCAACCCTTCATATATTGTATATCGTCGTGACATTGAATCAACAGTGTCTACCAAGCGAGATGGTGGAGGAGTTCTTGTCGCCGCCAAGAGAGGTCTCCACGTCGTCCCTATGGACTTGATCTCTTCTTATCCAATGTATCTACTATGCGTGATAAATATCCAGATCATGATCATTATCGTGGGTGACTTTAATAATAATAATAATATGATTTTATTCTATCCCATATAGAACAAAGAGAAAATATATACAGGTGTCCCGAAACTCTACGTCAAGCGGGCACCGGGTGAGAGGCCCACCCATTCCTGTTCTGGTAAAAATAAGAAAAAAAATCCCGTACAGCATGGGGTTGACGTAAGTGAAAGAACTATTCATCAAAGACTTGATAAAAGTGAAGAAGACCTGCCAAAAGAGCTCGGTTGCTCCAGAGACATCTGAATGGGGTAAGGTGCTCTTCACTGACATTCATTTCAACGTCTTCATATTCGCTCATCGATCATAGGTGATAGACAAAACCACTACTCATCCGTAAAAAGCACTTTCCTCCATTGCTCGATCTCCCAATTTACATGTAAGCGCGCAGATATCGTGGAAGCAGCCTCGGTCCTTTGGCTGCCTTCTTGCAGCGAGACCTCATCTAACAAGTTTTCAGCGAATGGTTCTCTCACTGATATCAACAACATGCACCATTTGAAGACAACACCGAGCTTCTACAGCTGTCGTTCTACGATTGCTTAGAACAATAAAGCGGTCATCAGCTACTATTGTCAGTCGTCTTGTTTTCACAGGCGATCGCGTTAAAATACTGCATCTTCGTTAGTAACAGAGATAATAGAGTGAATAAATGCTCAGAAAAGATTGGGCTACCGTTTGATTGCAGTTAACACCCTCTGCTGTAACAGCCGCACCCTATAGGGTATTACAAATTTCGAGAAAAAAAGGTTTTCTCATTCTTGCACTCCGTATATGCTCAAATTAATATCCGAATAAAAATTTCTATCGCAGGATTATTACAGAAGAATCAACCTTTCGATCAAAATTGAATGAGTGGTTCGCGAGTAAGCCAGCTTTGAAATTGTATCTACATTTTAGTGGCCGGTTTTTTTTGCCGGTCAGTGTATAAAGTTTCGGGTTTAGCCGTGCATCTGAGGACTAGAATGTGTCTAGTTCTAGGTCTAGTGTTAGTTCTACATAGTAACAGTGCTAGTGTAAAACTAGAACTAACACTAGACCTAGAACTAGACTAGAGCCTAGAGACTAGAACTAGAATGTTAGTTCTAGTTTTACACTAGCACTGTTACTATGTAGAACTAACACTAGACCTAGAACTAGAATCATTTTGGTTTAGCCGCACGTCTCTAAAGACGGCTAAACCCGAATGATTCTTGTTCTAGGTATAGTCAAAGATTAAAGAGTAAACAAGATGCGACGCTTCGTGTCGGCACCTTTGATGTAGGGCTGCCATTTTGTATGACCTTGAACGCTGTGGACCTTTAAATTGGAATGCACAAAAGGCGGGAATTTTAAAATTGTCCTTTTTTTTTAAATAATAAATATTATGAAAAACCTGTGGATATGTAATAATAATAATAATATAATATATAAATAATAATAATATAATAATTATTTAATAATGTTTTTATTATAACTAGGTAATCTAGTTTATAAATTCATAAGAATATTTAATTTTCTATTTTTTTTTGTAGTTGTTTTAAAATTAATATTTGTATATTTCATTAAATAAAACAATCGAAACCTAGTAAACAGCTTGATTAGATAGGTTATAGGAAAATTAGGGCACGGATGATTTAACTGCACTCTGTTAAACATTAAATATAATTGACTATCTACTTTGGGAGTATTTACCAAATTTAAAATGTTTTCAAAAAATATCTTTTCTAAGGAGTATATATATGTGTAAAAATTTTCGTGTGGTGTCCTTAAAGCTCCAAATGGGTTGACAAATGGGTGTACATATATATTACTAAGGTCTACTTCATATTTTTTATCTGCAAACTGATTGCATATGGGGCATGAATGAACTTTTAAACATTTATTAATTAAGTAGCCACAAATATATTTAAATGCATTCTGTTCCGGTAGCGTAAGTGTGCGATAATCACTGTTTGTCAGTGATAATTCAATTATTTCAATTCTTTGGGGTTGTAAATTACTTTCTTGACATGCTGTATGTTGAACGTTTTCAAAATTTTCCATGCATTTATAAATTTTACATAATTTTCAACATCTTTGCCGCTTTTATTGTATATTCTTATTTTATTTAAAAAAATTAACATGTCGTTTAAAAAATCTATTTGATATTGTTCTCCTTTGAACGGTCTTCTATATTTTTTATCAGAGTATTTGGAATAGTTTATCAAATTTTTCGATAAACAGTTTGTTGCCATAGCGTCTTGTGGTAATGCATTTAATTTAATGTATGTTTCAAGACCAGCTGCTACAGTAGCGCTTATTACTTGAGTTGCATACTTTACACGCATCCTTTGAAAATTATTTGGATTAATGTGGATGTTTGTTAATTTAGGCGCAATTCGACTATTTAATAAACAATCTTTATTGTAAAAATTAACGAGATGGTCCCATGATGTCCTTTGATTTTCCCACTGGAAAACATTATTTAGTAAATTGTTTCTCGTTGCTTTTATTAAATGTGGTGGATCAAAATAGTATCCAATGATCACATCATTTACGCGAAAGTGTGGATTTTCAGGAGTAACACACAATAGCTGTGAAAGTGATATAAAATTGGATCCCATATCGCTTACAACTGCTACTACATCTACACCAATAGCAGTCAATTTTGTGATATGCTGTATTAAAATATCTTTCATTTCCTTAGCAATAATTGGTTTTTCTGCGATTTTAACATTAACACTGTCACTCTATCTGCTGGGACTGCAGTTTTTCTGAGACCATTATCTTCCAGTCCAATTATTTCATCCTTCCCATAATCATAAAATAGGTGACTCTTTATAATGATATCGTCCATACAAATTAAACACTTTTTGTCATCAAACCGTTTAATTTTTAAGTTGAGCAATTCATATAAATTATCATTAAACCCAGCTGTTAATGTTAACTTTTTTACAAATCGTTGTAGAACTAGTGGAGATGGTAGAATGAACATTTTTTGCAAATGCCTGTAGCATTTTGGACCAAGAAAATAAAGGGATAACGCATTTTTTTTTAATTCACTGGTATATCTATGTCCTGCTGGACTTCTCTTTGTCTGTTCTATTTGAATTTTCACAAAATTCGAAAATGATGGTGTTAAAAATTTATCACATAGTTTTTTAAAATCTTCTACATTAATGTCTTGGTTATTTTTTAACACTGTCGTTCTTTTTAGTAGATGTGAATTTTTAGTCCTAAGCTGTTTTATAATTTGTCTATATTTAATTTTACGTGGCGTTGACCAAGATAATGACAATGGTGTTTGAACAGATTGATTGTCTATTGCAGGTGGAACAAGCGCATGATTTGTGTTGGATACAGCAGACGAAGATGGTGCTGAAAAACGTTATATTATACAGATATAACTATATTATATTAAATAATTTAAGTATATACCAATAGTAATGTCGGATAGTATTTGGATACTTTTTAATTTTGATTTTTCAATATCAACTGAACTGTTTGTAGGTTTACCTAAAATTAATTATTGTTACATATCAACATGTTTCATACGATTCAAAGTCTTACATGTAACTATTAGCATGTCATTATCACTATGCTCCATCCTATCTATCCACTGCATAGGAGTAGCTAGTGGTAGTAACCGTTTTTTTTCATTATTCATAAACATGTCATCTGTGAAATGTATGCTACAAACACGATGTTTTAAATTTAACTCTATAGGATCTTTTTTTAATAATAAATCATTTCGTCCACAGGCTACACACCAACACTTGCTCCTATAAAACATTTACTTAAATCAGTTCTTTCAATGTTATTATTAGGTAGAAAAACTTACATTTCCACATTCTTTGGAAACCTAAAAAAACTAACACTTTTTGCGTTATAAAATGAATTTTTACACTCTTTGTAGGAGCAAATGTGTCCACGTCTTTGCGAATAATTCTCCATCTTCAATAATTCTTCGTTTACTCTTTAATCTTTGGTAATACACGTAATACATACAGTAAAAATCACAAATGAATGAGAGTTACACTTGGTTATACGTTAGAACAGCGTTCCGCAAACTTTTTTAAATAGCGACCCAAAAATATCAATAAAATGTTAATGGGACCCATAAGAAATTAAATCTATTATTAAATATAATACTTGTGATGATAATAGATATTTACGCAACCCATTTTTCGACCCTTCTCGACCCAAAATTGGATTGCGACCCAGTGATTGCGATTCGTCACATTTGTAGGTGTGGTTTGTTATAGTCAGGACATTTAAATTGGAATGTCTTCCTATCTCTTTTCAAAACTAAAGTTTCTCACTCTAGCGTCGCATCTTGTTTACTCTTTAATCTTTGGTATAGTGTTAGTTCTAGTTTTATAATTGTATTGTCACTAGAACTAACATTAGACCTAGAACTAGAAACATTTGGGTTTAGCCGAACGTCTCTTAAGACGGCTAAACCCAAATGATTCTATAGTTCTAGGTCTATTGTTAGTTCTGGTTTTATACTAGCACTATCACTAAAACTAACACTATACCTAGAACTAGAATCATTTAGGTTTAGCTACACGTCTCTAAAGATGGATACGTTCATTACAACAGCCTTCATAGGGAGTTGGATAACCTTATACAGTATGTTTACTCAACGGACCTCGATTCTATGCTTTTGGTAACTCGCGATAAGGTGGCGGATTTTAAATCGAGGTCACAAAACGAAGTTCCGCCCAAGGTTTATATATTAAAGGTTGTCTAAGTTCCTATGCTGCAATACTTTGATTTTAGTTTGTGGGCGAGGGGCAAGAGCAGTAGTGTTTCGTGACGTAAGCGATCACGGATTGCGCACGCAACCTCATGGCCATGTGGTGCTCCATGCCTTTGTTTAATTTGAATTGCTTGGCGGTATTATTTTCCACATGTGACGTAATGCGCAGTATGGTTGCGTACGAACCTAGACAACCTCTTATATATAAACCTTGGGTTCCGCCAACATCAAACGAATCGACGTCGTCATTTCTAGTTATCCTGTGGTTCGGTGTTGTTCTCGAAGGATATATTATCGATTTTTTTGCTAAGCAAGAAATTCTAAAATATATGCAACTTATTTTACACATATTTTAATTTTATAAATGGCGGCACATAAAGTCCCTAGATTATCAAAGTATCGCGGTTTGCCGCCATTTTGGCTCGAAAGTCAAGCAGGAAATTTAAAATTATGTCGTTTATTGATAAAATTACACCAAATTTCCTTTCTTTTTTTCTCGTGGTACTGTGAAGAGTCGAAAGCTCTTCTTAATGCTATTTATTATTCATTATTACACGTGCACTTAACTTTAATAACACAAAAGTCATTAATAAAATAACGCCATCTATCGAAATGAAGTTGAAGTTGATATTTAAATTAATTTAATTATAATTTATAATAAGAAATACAATTAATTAATAAAAAAATGATTTTATTTTGTGTTATAAATCGATGTAGCTTAAATCCACGCATCGACCTTAACACTGACAAGTTTCTTGGGCAAGGTTATGCTTATTATAAAATGAGTTGGAATAAATAACCGAAGAAATAAGAAGAATGTAACGCAACTATATCTCGCAATATTTATTGTTTTCAAGATTATAACCTTGATACAATTCTTGTCGCTTAAAGCCATTAATCAGTAAACGAATAATATAATGTGGAAGCAAAACCGAGTAAACCGAGTTGGGTTGAGGAAGTAAAAATCACCTTGAACCAATTTATGAAACGTTTCCGGTGAAATTAGGAAGAGAGCAACACCTATACTATATATATCGACCTTCTCGACCAATTTTATTAATAATTAATCGATTTTTTGGACTTACCCAGCCAAGAAGCTTGTTCTAAGTCTATTTTAATGCTTTCCGTTGAGTTTAAAAGTTGTGGGATTAAAATGGCACTGTATCCTTGGCAGATTCCGATTGATATCGAAACGGAATGGGCACAAATTGCAGCTATTGCCTAAAAAGATTTATTTATAATTAATAAATAAAAAAAATGAAAATATTAAAAATTAAAATAACCCTGAACTTGTACTTGAATGGATGTGGGAAGCGATGCGGAAAGTTAGAAATTGATAAATAAGATTGTTTTTTTCCAGCAATTTTTTAATATAATAAGATCAATGAAGTGATTTTTATTAAATCATTCTTATCCGGATGTTTGTAATTTAAGCAACGATAACTTACTTATTTTTTAAATTTCGTGTCGTTTTCAATGTCAAGTTCAACAGTTGTGTTTAAGCACACGAGTTTAAGAAAAATTGGTTTGAATGCAACGGATTATTATCATCGTAATTGCATACATTATTTTTTTCCGACGAAGACAACCGTCAATTATGTTAAAAAAAATGTTGCAATAAACGATTGTGATTGCGAAGAAAAAAACGTCAATAAACTTTAAATTGCAACTAAAGAGACACTTACCGTTCTTCCGAGTCCGTATTCCCAATGTTTTTTGATTTTATCGAAGATGTGATGCATTATTATTCAACTAAAAATGGAAAATAATATTAATTTAACCCAGTTATGAATACAAATAAAAAGGACAATTATTAATTCAAGGAAAAAAAACGTTATTGTAATAAAAAATTAAGTAAATTTTTAATAAATGCGTCATTGGAAATATTTCTGCTTCGAAATCATTAAAATATGTTGTTTTTTTTTTAAATAATTGTGATAATTTTGGAATTTTGAAGCATTCTTATGACGTGTAAAACCAATTGAAAACATTAGAATAATAATAATAATTACAAAAACAATTTTAAAACGTTAGTGATAACAAAATAATAACAATAATATAAAAAAATTTAACATAAACCTTCAAATTAAAACAAAAACCTTCAAAACACAAGAAACTAACCGTTAAAATACAATGGATTAAAGTCGAAACGCATCTAAAGCACACCTTTAACAGTTTATTTATGTTTTTCTTTCGTTGGTGTGCGTACGTTGTTATATTTCGACTCGAATCCGTGCCAAAATTTATAAATTTAGAACCGAAACTTGTTTACTAATTAAAATTATGTTTACGTTTTAATGTTTTTGAGTTATCTACATAAAAATGAATCAAAAAAAATTAAATTTTTTGCTCAACTCACCACAAAACTCACCGTTTAATAAGAAAAATCCAAAAAATAATCACTTTATTATTAATAATTAATTAATTAATTTAAATCGGGAAGAATCTCGGGTGGCTATGAACAACCCGGCTTTTGTTTTAACAATCGCCTCTCGCCGATGTTGACGCGATGTTTTTATAGCTGCACGCGGATTCAAAATGTTGCATTGAAGAAAGAAAAAAAAAAGGAGAAGGAGAAAAGGTAATTTAAAAAAGATCGTAATGAAAGTGATAAGATTAAATTGAAAATTAAAATTATGTTTTGACTCGGATGGAATTATTTTTTCGGATTTATTGAGGTTGAGGAAAAGATGTTTTCTTCGAGAACAATAATGAGTAATTCGAACGGTGCACCTTTTTATATGTATTATTATTATTATTATTTATTCGCGGTAATTGAAACACATTACGCTTCTCACGATTATGCAAATTGAACGTTTGTTTAAACGCCATGAAGAAGATTTGCGAAAAGAACGAGAAAGAGTGTGAAAAAGGTTTTTGTTCTTTTTTTCAGGAAGCGCGAGCTCAATAACGAATTAGTAATTAATTTATTAATTAAAAAGTACAATCAAAATTATTCTAAGAAATGTTTGTTATTTCTCAAAAACTAAAAGTGATTTTTTAAAACGGCTTTTTGCATTAAAAAGAGAATACTTTAATTAATAATTGGTGATATTTCCACAACGATCCTTCAAGAAATTAATTTTATAGCGAATTTTGAAAGTAATTGATGAAAATTGCAACATCGAAAATTTTATCAAAACTTCAAATATTGTTTTCTCAAAAACTAAAAGTTATTTTTCAAAACGGGTTGGTTCATTGGAAAGAGGACACTTTTATTAACACTTTGGGAAATTTTCATACTCATATTCCAAGAAATGGATTTTATACGAATTTTTAAAACTTAATCGGCGAAAATTGCAAAATTCGAAAAAATTGTCGATCATTTCAAAAATTTATTTCTCAAAAACTAAAAGTGATTTTTCAAAACGGCTTTTTGCATTAAAAAGAGGGCACTTTAATTAATAATTAGTGATATTTCCACAAGGATCCTTCAAGAAATTAATTTTATAACGGATTTTAAAAATTATCGATTAAAATTGCAATATCGAAAATTTTATCAAAACTTCAAATATTGTTTTCTCAAAAACTACAAGTTATTTTTCAAAACCTATTACTTCATTGGAAAGAGGACACTTTTGTTAACACTTTGGGAAATTTTTATACTCATATTCCAAGAAATGGATTTTATACGAATTTTTAAAACTTAATCGGCGAAAATTGCAAAATTCGAAAAAATTGTCGATTATTTCAAAAATTTATTTCTCAAGAACTAAAAGTGATTTTTCAAAACGGCTTTTTGCATTAAAAAGAGGATACTTTAATTAATAATTGGTGATATTTCCACAAGGATCCTTCAAGAAATTAATTTTATAGCGAATTTTGAAAATTATCGATGAAAATTGCAACATCGAAAATTTTATCAAAACTTCAAATATTGTTTTCTCAAAAACTAAAAGTTATTTTTCAAAACGGGTTGGTTCATTGGAAAGAGGACACTTTTATTAACACTTTGGGAAATTTTCATACTCATATTCCAAGAAATGGATTTTATACGAATTTTTAAAACTTAATCGGCGAAAATTGCAAAATTCGAAAAAATTGTCGATTATTTCAAAGATTTATTTCTCATGAACTACAAGTGATTTTTTAAAACGGCTTTTTGCATTAAAAAGAGGAAACTTTAATTAATAATTGGTGATATTTCCACAAGGATCCTTCAAGAAATTAATTTTATAGCGGATTTTAAAAATTATCGATTAAAATTGCAATATCGAAAATTAATGACGTTTCAAAAAATTTGACGTTTGTAAACGTCAAAGTGACAGTTATAATTAATAATTAAAACTAATAAATATCAAAATTAAATCGATAATAAAGCATTTCTTATTATTTTTTGTAAACGGGGTCAATGTTAAGCTCAAGAACGAGATTTGCACCTTTTAAAATAACCAATTAATTTTTGAATTTAATTTTTCGTGTTTTAATCTAAGTGAACCTAAATTATTGTTAAAGTGAACAAAAAAAACGATTAAAAATGGGGTTATAAAAAGGTGTTGTTATAAAAAAACTGTTGCTGTTATAAAAAAAAAGTGAGGTTATAAAAAAAATCGATTTCACCTACGCATGAAATCGCCGAAAAAAGAGACTCTTTTGCAATGACAATTACGCATTATCTCTTGTATACGACGGTGAGAAAAAGCAATTCGTCGCGAATTTGCAAACAATGGGAAAGAAGTAAAAAAAGTATCGCAAAAAAAAGATTAAAATAAACCGAATTAAAAAAGTTATTTTTTTGGGTTGGCACCACTTCTTCTTTTAAAAAAAAATGTAAACAATACATAACCTTAACATATCCAAACTGCTTTTATCGAAAAAAAATTAGTATTACTTTAAACCACCAACTAGATTCTAAGTAAATACAGAACTTTTAGACTAGCTTGGTTGTTTGTAGATGAAACAAAACAAACTCTTCGAAATTTTTCATCAAGGTTGATTGATGAAGCCTTACCGCAACAGATACTACAGAACACGCCTTAGCTACAGCCTTCAATAAGAAACCAAAAAAGAAAATTACTTATTACAATTTTAAGCAAAAAGGTCATTTTGCCAAACAAAGTTTTTGGAACTACTAGCAATTCCAAAAACTTTGGATCTTTCAATTCAGCTGTAGATAAAAATTGCCAGAGGAGGACATAAAAGTAATAAAAGTTGATTTTCGTCCTACAGAGCACAAGATAATTTAAGTATAAAACTTGGTAATGGAGAACTCAGGTTGAACAGGATCAAACTGGAGAAGATGTGTAATGAAAGATGTATGGTATGTTCCGGAGTTGAAGAAAAATCTTTTCTCAGAAGGAGCAGTCACGAGAAGAGGAATGAAAGTAGTCAAACAAGGAAATGAGGCTAAAATAAATGAAAGCGGTGTAGTAATAGCCGTTGCGAACAGAATTGTTACAAATCCGTCCAAATTGGACCGCGTTATGCATCACTTGACTAAGCCACAAATCAACAATGTTGAGAAAAACGGGATTTTCGTTTTCATCTCTCTAAAAATATAAGACTTCTCAGAGTAGGCAGGCTCAAACTATTGAAAATTGTTTGGTGCCTGTCTATTTTTATCACAGAACACTGATGACAGCCATCAAAAGTACAAAATCTGCTTAGTCAGTCGTTTTATAATTATACAGGGTGTTTCTGTAAGTTGTGGCATAAATTTAATCACAAATACTAGAGTCAAAATCTCGTAGAAAATTATCTAGAGTTTGATTTTGTACTTTTCAACTGGTTTCTATTTTATATAGAATTTAAGTCTAACTAATTTCGGGCCTTGGCCATCTTCAAATACTCTTCAAATATATTAACATTCCTCATCCTACCCATTTTACAAACAAGTTTCTTAATATTTTTTTTCTTTTGTTACAAAAGATCACAAAAGATCATATCGATGTACTAATTTACAAAATTACAGTTTAAAAAGTTGTAAAATGAAATTAAGGACGAAGTGTTACAACTTTGTAGGTTAAAATTTAAGAACGCTCTTTTTTTAAGACACATAATGTGGCTTAAAAATCGACGATTTTTCTTAATCAGTGTGAAATGACCCAAAAAAAAACGTTAAAAATAAAAAGAAAGTGCGGAAAAGTGACTAACACTAGATTAACTTCAGTTATAAAACTTCTATTATATGATAATTAACATCAGGTTTAAAATGTTAACCTGAATTTTGACATATTTGTAATCTTTATTAAAAATCCTTTAAAATGAGTACAAACACGACATACTTATCTTCAATATTAATGAAGTTATGGTCAACTTCCGGTTAAGAATGTCAACGTCAATTTTGACATATTTGTAATCGTCGTGAA